AATTATTAAGCAGCACTTGTGACATTGACCGTAAGGAGAATGAGTTGGTAGTACAGGCTACTGAGATGCTGGGTGCTCTGTGGGGACACAAGTGGCAATTCTACCTTGGAAGAGGGGTAGAACTAAAGCCTGGTGATGTGTGGAGTTAGTGGGACAAGCTTCACAATTATTGTAGAACTTTAAATATTCATGAAGTCTCTTCCATACAGATACATTTTAGAGGTACCTGGAGTTTTTGTTATTGTTACTGGGTTTACATTTCATGATTTAAACAGATCTGACAGGAAAATATTCTTCAGGCAGAGGAACAGCATTTTCAAAAGTAAAATCAGGTCAAGTATTATTTTTCCCCCTATTTCCATTAATGCAAACATTTAAATGAGGTTTCACATGTTTCCCCTTTTTCGGTAGTTGTTGATAATATAAATTAGAAACTTTGAGAATAAAATACATTTCTGGAATTACTCAGATACATCCATAAGGTGTACTCACACATTTATAAATTTTTATCTGGTAGTTGAAGAGCATTGTGATGCTACTTTAAATCTTGCCGAAATGGCCATGACAGGGGCTTAAAAAAATTCTTCAGATCTATATCCTTGGATAAATGCATTTTCAAAATTTACAGATTCCCTGTGGGGAACCAAAAAGAAATAATAATTGACCTGGGTTTTCATTGTGTTTGGAGATATTAACATGAACCTTTCTGTTACTGTGTTCTTTCATCGCGTTGCGTTTTGTCCTGTCTTAAGATTGTGTGCAGGGACGACCTGCCAAAGCGCGGAGTGGAGCGAACCTGCACTCGAGTCATTAGCAAGGCGACGCCAGCTGTGCCCACCGTCTTGGTCTCAACTAACGTGGAAGTTTGAAGGAACATCTGCAGCATCACACACATCTCTCAGAGACCTTTCTGAATTTGCAACTCATCTCGGGGAAGAGAAAGATAGATTTAATTTATTTGAAGTTTTTATGATGTTAATATTTTCTTTTTTACCTCGCTAGCCTGAGAATTTTGCCAGCCCCCAGATGTGCACATTTCTTATGATTTGTTTTCCCCTTTGAGAAGCGTTGAACAAGCCAAGCTGAAAATTTGCCATGAAATTCCAATGAATGTACAGCTCAAAAGCAAACCATAAGTTTGCTGTCAGTTATAATATGTTCAATACCAAGTCCTAGCACACATATTTTAAAGGTCAAAGTGAATGTTTTTGTAACATTTAAGCATATTTCAAATGTAAATAGGAGATTGTAAAATATATGGTTTTTACCAAATTTAAAAGAAACTTTTTAGTTGATACTTATGACAGTGTTAAGATTATATGAATAACATTTCAGATACCATTATATTAAAATATTTGTGTATGTGTACAAAAGTGTTGATAAATACTAATCTTTAAAGTTTGTGAAGTTCCTTTATTTGTAATATATGTGCTCTGAAAAGCAATGGGCTGTGAAATTATGGACGTATTTTGTTGTTAATAGAAATAAAAAATACAGTTACTTTGCATTTGTTCCCTCTTGAAGAGTTGCTCCTAAAATCGGTTCACTGGGTGGGATATCTGCTGAATGCACTGCTACATGCACTACTTATGATGCCTTATCAAGAAGTCAGGGAAAGGACTAGGACATCAGCGGGGCAGTTCCTCCAAAATGACCAACTAGATAGGCCAGGGATTTCCAAACCTAGGAGATTCGTAGCCTGATTTGGAGAAGATATAATACATCAGAATCTCAAGGGTTGTTATGAATGAATCAAAGGTCATTATTAGGACTGTTCACAAATATTCCATCTTCACATTCTATAAACTCGTGGTAGGATTTGCACTGTCCTGGCTCTTTTGAACTTAAACTTGACCCTGTGATTTGCTTTAGCCATTGAAATGTGAGCAGAAGTGACCTGTGTCCCTTTCAGGCAGGTACATAAAAGCCAAGAAGTGGTTCTGCACAGTCTCTCCCCTGATCTAGTCATCTTTGAAGCACATGGAGTCCCCGAGTGATCACAGTGAGCAGGTACACTTACACACACACACACACACACACATGCACACACACACGTGCGCAAACACACACATTCACACACTTACACACACACACACATGCATACACACACTCCTGCACACATTCACACACACACAACACTCACACTCACATGACACACACACACTCATACACTCACACAGTCACACACACACATGCTCACACTTACACACCACTTCCCAGTAATCTTGTTGGACATAGAGCCTGACTGAGAAATGCATTTTGTTAATGCATTTTGTTGTGTTAAGGTGCCTGAGATTCAGGGATCCTTTGTTACTGCAGTGTTACAAGCTTATCCTTGTTGATCTGTACTTTTGTCAAAATTGTGACTGATGTGCAGCCAGTTTGGGAGCCACTGTCACATTCCACTTCCCTCCCCCAGCCGCCTCCCTCCTCCAGCCAACACCAGCAGCTGTGCAACTGAGCAGAGCTGCTTCCAGATGCAGAAGGAGGCTCGGGAATGTCGTTTATATTTACCTTCAGCAGCTACTCCCAAGACCCAGCATCAAATTAGGGGACTTTAGCTGAGTTCATCTTTCTGCTCCATAAGTCCATTGGCCAGAATCAGCACATTCGGGCCAGGAGGGAAGCTAGGGCTTAGAAGACGTATTTAAATATTGTATGCACAAAAATGACTAAAGAATATTTTAGATGAGAATTCTGGTCCCTCCAGACTCATGTAAATGCTCTTTTGTCAAATAGAGCCCACTGCTTTATTTAAAAAAAAAAAAAGCCCTGTGGTGAACAGACCTCTGGTTCCAAGCGTCACTCCTGGCCTCCTTCTGGCTGCAGCGCTCGCGGTTGCTGGCTGCCTGGGTCCTGGGGCAGCATCTCAGCGCCTCTCTTCCCATTTCCCAACTTGGGTTTTTAAGCTGAGAGAATCTCACATGTATAAAGCCAATAAATGACGTTAGAAAATATGAGCAAGTTTCTGTGGACCCTGAATTTTTTAAGAGAGTACAAAGGAATGTAAGGAGTGGTAAGAGCTGGCACCTGAGGACCCCGTTAGCATGTCCTCTGCAGCTTACCCTGGTGATGTCCTGAGACTCAGTGAGAAGACCCACGATCTACTTAGAGCACAAAGCCCCATCCTCGCCAAGAGTTCATTTGGAGATGAACCCGTGAGATAGAGCATGATAACTGGGGATTCACCTGGGGGCACATGAGAGGAGCTGCTATGAAGAGAGGGCACATAAGCAGATGAGCATGTTTGCGTTCAGATCATGGGTAATTAAAGTATTCCAGGTGAATTATGGAGATGGGAAGACATTAGCAAAAGGAAGAAATTCCCATGAAAGCTCTAAACTCCTTTGCCTTCCCCTTGCCTTTGGCTGTTCCTCCAGAGACTGCGTGTGGCTGGGGATGGGAGGTAAGAGGAGAATAATTTCATGGAGAGACCATAAATCACAAGTCTCAAGAGAGACACTGCAGTGAGAACACAGAGCTGATCTTAGCTAGATAAGGAGTGAGAGATAGATCAAAACATGCTGAGCTGGGGGGCATGAAGGTCATTTGGAGAAGGTAGTGGTGACTGAGCCTGAGTAATTGAGCAAGGGTTTACAAAGAATAACGTTGAATAACACTAACGTCAGGGATTCTCCAGAGGGATCTGCTTGCAATTTTCTTACATCATCAATATTAATACTCAACTATAAAGTCGTCGTTTCTTGGACATACTCCTAATATGTATTAAGGATGTTTACTTTCAAAGCTGATGACTTTCCTTGTATTTCATCAGAAGCAATATGACTATAACTACTAACCCCAGGGTAGGTGAACTTTTTAAAGTTATAAATAAGACCGTGGTATTTGCACGGCATTTTAACGGACAGACTTGCCCATTGGCTGAGGTAGTTTGTTTCATAATATGCATGGAGCTTTGTGAGTTCCATTGGATTTCTAAGGGACTTATCTTCTGCAATATTATTTTTCCCTTTGGATGAACAATTNAGCCCAGCTCCAGGTCGAGCTGTTGTTCAGCATCTTAGCTGTAGAGGGCAGTGTCACTGGCCCTCATATGTGGGATCCGAACCAGGGCTCTCTGGCATCCTAAGCCAGTTCTTAACCAACGCACCATTCGGTCGGCCCAACAGTGTTTTTCTTTTAATTAAAATGATTACCATCTTTCAAATTTTTCAACTTGTCTTGACAAGTTTGGTGATTACGAGCAATACTCGATGTGAACAGAGGTCTATGAGCACTCACAGCTCAGTAAGTCAGAGTGGGGTGCTGGCTTCCTGCTTTTGAAGGGGCTGGTACTCCTGCACCTCAGTTTGTTCAAAATCAGCCTGCCTCACTCATTCCCAGAGTATGCCTGGGTCCTGTAGGCACACAGGTTTGCCACCTCTCATCTAGACAAACTTTTGTTTTAGCAATGAGAACCCTGAGATTCTTGGTGATGAACAAGTTTAATTCGCATTGTCTCCTCAGTCACAGACCAGGTTGGCATTGTTAGTTTTTCACAATTTTAGATAATAGTTTCTCTTACAGGCAATTATTCACCATGGAAAACGGGGTTTCCAAAAGCTCACCATTCAAATTCTGCTCAGCCAATACTGAGGTAGGTAGCTCATTTCTGTATATGACTAATTTCAGGAACCCTAAAGAAAGACAAATCTGTGAGCAATGTATAAAATGATAGGCCATAACAAGCTTAATATGAAATGAATTTTATTTGGATCTTATATTCTCAATATTTTCAACCTTTTTGGTGGGAAAGTTATTTTTTCTATGAAAACGTATATTTTTATACTTCACATCCATTTGGATGACTGCTATTGAAAAAGAAAAACAGAAAGTATCAAGTGCTAGCAAAAATCTGAAAAAAAAATAGAATCCTTGTAAAACTGTTGGTGGAAATGTAAAATGGTGCTGCCACCATAGAAAACAGTATGGCAGTGCCTCAAAAACTTAAAAGCAGAAATACGATATGACCCGGCAATTCCCTCTCTGGGTATTTATCTGAAATAAATGAAAGCCAGGTTGCAGAGAGATATTTACACACTCATGTTCATGGCAACACTATTCAAAATAGCCAAGGGATAGAAGCAACTCAATGTCCATAGACAGATGAATAGATTTTTTTAAGTGCTATATATGTATACTGGAATATTATTCAGCCTTAAGAAAGTCTGACACATGCTAAGTAAAGCTTGAGAACACAATGCTAAGTGAGCCAACCAGTCACAAAGGACAAAAACTGTATGATTCCACTTATAAAAGGTATGTAGAGTAGTCGAAAATCATAGAAACAGAAAGGAGAATGGCGGTTGCCAGGGGCTGGGGGAGGGAGAAATGGAGCATTGTTGTTTAACGGGGACAGAGTTTCAGTTGTGCAAGATGAAAAAGCTCTGAATCGCAGCTGCACAACAATGTGAATGTACTTGACACTACTGAAATATACTGTTTAAAAATGGTTAAGATGGTAAAATTCCTGTCATGTGTTTTTTACCATAATAAAAAATAATTTTTGAAAAAGGAATCTCTTATTCAAATCTGCTAGGTTTTGGGGGATCTGGTGTGATTATTACAAAGGACACAATAGTGGAATCCAAAGATGAAATAGAAAACCAATGTGTCTCATTCTGCAGAGGCTGACTGAATGCCCTGGATACCTTAGGGTGGAGGAATTCCATTTACATCAGTGTGGTTAAGCAAGTTCAAACACAAAGTCAGGCTCTACAAAGATCCTCTCAAATAATGAACAAAAGAATGCTCTCTAGAGCTGGAACTGGTACATTTTTTAGATTACAATTTTATCTCATTCTACCAATTATAACAAAAATTTTTACATTTAATATGTTTCAAACTCACTCTAAAAATAAGATGTTAAAAAGTGAGAAATTCAGTTGTTATAATTAAAGAGAGAGAGAGTAGAAAACATATTTTAAGATATTTAGCCCATCTCTATCTTGGGATTAATCATCTACGTTGGGTTTTTAATGCTCTTTTTGGTATAGTTAATTATTCCTAGTCACTAATCCTAGAGATCATTGTTCCTGGAATTAAGAGGAAGGCTTCTTATTAGCTACTCATGTTGTAATAGTTTTGTCTCCATAGTGTCATCAATCATGGAGGAAAGGCAGGATCAGTTCCACTGTCCCAAAAGGCAGTCCTAATGCAAACCACCGTCTGATAATTTTGTTAATTGTTGGTCTATTTTTGGCTGCTGAATAAGGGTATCTGTAAGCTGCTGGTGTGCATACCATTTTGTCTCACCCGCTTTCCACGCTGTCTTCATGTCTCTAAAGATTGCCAAGGACAGAACCACGCTGCCAAGTGCTCCAAATGTAACTCAATAGGCTGAGTTTGGTTCACTGGAGATATTTCATTTGGCTCCTCTCTCACAGCCTCTCTTCTCTATGGATACTATTGAGCTGTAAATAGTAAATGTACAGGCCTATGAAATGGAAACTGGAATCGATCCAGGAAACAGATTAGTCGAGTGCTCTAGCGCGAGGCCCTTAAAAC